TAGAGTCTCCAACCTTCAGAGGAGTGGGTGCAACACGGACATTAGACATGATTTTTGTCTTGTCCATGTTCATTCTGAGGCCCACTTGTTGAGAGGCTCTACTGAGGCCATCGAGCATTGTGCCTAGATCCTCCAAGGTCTCAGCCATGACTACGATATCGTCCGCGAATCGAAGGTGGGTGATGTACTCGCCGTTGATATTTATGCCAAATCCGTTCCAGTCCAGAAGCTTGAAGACATCTTCCAGGGCGGTGGTAAACAGTTTTGGAGATATGACGTCTCCCTGTCTTACCCCTCGCTGCAACTGGATAGGTTTCGAATCCCGATCCTGGAGGCGGACCGACATTGTGGCGTTTTTGTACAAATCCCTCAACACTTCGATATATCGATAGTCAATTTGGCACCTTTGGAGAGACTGTAGCACTGCCCAGGTCTCGACCGAATCGAAGGCTTTCTCATAATCCACAAACGCCAGGCAAAGTGGTTGATTATACTCCTCGGTCTTCTGTATAATCTGCCTTAGCGTATGTATGTGGTCTATGGTACTAAAGCCTTTTCGGAAACCGGCTTGTTCGGGAGGCTGGAAGTCGTCGAGCCTGCGAGCGAGACGATTCGTAATGACTCTTGAAAACAGCTTGTAGACATGGCTCAGAAGTGAGATGGGTCTATAATTCTTCAATAAGGTTTTGTCACCTTTTTTGAAGAAGAGTACCACCACACTTCTGTGCCATGTCGTAGGCGTTTTCCCTTCGAGGATGACGGAATTGAACAGCTTCTGAAGAGCCCTCAGTACCGGCGTTCCGCCTGCCTTCAAAAGCTCAGCCGTGATTCCATCATCACCCGGTGCCTTGTTGTTCTTCAGCTGTTTGAGAGCCATTCTAATCTCGTACAGACTGACGTCCGGGATATCTTCGGTATAGTGTCGGGTCAGTCTAGCTCTTGGGTCTTCGGCTAGATTTGTGACAGGTGCACGTACACTCGTGTATAATTGTCCGTAGAACTTCTCGACCTCTTCCAATATCTCCGGCCCCGACGAAATGGCTCTGCCATCCTCTGTCTTCAGCTTGGTCAGTTGACTTTGGCCAACAGACAGATCTCTTGCGAACACTTTAGAGCCCTTGTTTCGCTCAATCGCCTCTTTAATACGGTCTGTATTAAATTGGCGTAGGTCGCGAGTCAAAGACTTGGAGATCTGTCTGTTAAGGCGCCGATACTGAGCAGCATCTTCAGAGGACTGCAGAACCAAGTTCCGTCTCTCTTCCATGAGTTGATTGGTGAGGTCAGAGATCTTTTTGGTTCCTTTTGAACGACGGGTTTTAAAGAACTTAGACCCAGTCGTTTGGACAATTTCCACGAACCTGTCATTGTATTTGTCCACATTTTCGCAGTCTCCTAGGCATTCGAAACGATTTTGCAACTCGAGCTGAAAGCTTTCGGGGTTTTGGAGTTGGATGGGCGCTGGGCGGAGCGTAGACTTCATCAGTCGACATCTCTCGAGCTTGGGTCTGATATTCAATGTGCCTCTTACCATTCGGTGATCGCTTCCTGTTTTGACCGAATTGATCACAGAGACATCATTGAATATATGCTTCTTCGTCGACAAGATGAAGTCTATCTCATTTTTTGTAGCGCCATTGGGATGCAGCCATGTCCACTTTCGCTGTTTTGGCTTTCTGAAGAAGGAGTTCATCATAAAGAGGCCCTCCCTCTCCATAAAGCCAGCCAGCAGTTGGCCACGTGCGTTCCTCTCTCCGTACCCAAATTGCCCCACTTTCGGCTCATTATCGCTTCGTTTACCTAGCTTCGCGTTGAAGTCCCCCATCACAACGGTAAAATGGGACCGGGAGCCATGTATGGCTCTGGAAATATCCTCATACATGGTCTCCACTTCGTCGTCGGGGTGTTCCGTGGTCGGTGCGTATACCTGTATGACCTTCAGCGAATACCGTTTGGTGATTCTGAGTATCAGGTACACTACCCTCGCCGAAACACTCTCGATCTGGACCACGTTGTTGACAAGGGACTTGTGGACGATAAACCCGACACCACCCTGGGACTGCTGGTCGCCCTCCCGGAAATAGAGCAGGTTTCCGGATTTAAGAATTATGGTGTCCTCCCCCTCTCTTCGGACTTCACATAATCCCACGATATCCCACCGTAACCTGCTCAACTCTTCCTCGAGTTCCATTAGCTTCACGTCTGTACGCAGTGTGCGAGCGTTATAGGTTGCCAGGGCCAGAGGTCGTCGGTGTTGGTAGCCTGGCATCCCCCGGGGATTCTTCGCACCCCTTGCCCCACCGTTACCGTGACCGCTACCGTGGTCCGGGATAGTGGGGCCGCCGGGGACTAGGGGCCGTTTTTTTGTTTGTGCTACCATTTGGAGGGTTTTGCCCTAATCGCCACGCTTGGCAGGCGGGTTGGCGATCGCAGTTTTTTACTTGGTTTCGCACGCAGACGCTGCTGCCCGTCCGGTGCTACAGGAGTTTGTCGCCTCTTACGACACGCCTCCTGTGGGCGGTGGGGAAAAGTATTCTTTTACGGCCGTCCCCATACGTCTATTTGTAATCTCATCTAATTATTTTTATGTCTCATTATTGAATGCATGATTAAAATACATAATGTTAGGTACCTACCTACCTAACTGGTAACTAATTACAAAAACTGTTTATTCCGGCTACTCTTTAATACCGCTGGACCGATTTTGATATAGAACTTTCATTGTTAGGTAGCTCTTGTTTAAAATAAGAATTCGATTTCAAATTTTATCTGTTGACTTTGCATTTTTTTAATGAAGTTAAATTGTAAGTAGGTATATTCTGCATTTTTTAAGAAGAATGAATACTCATCTGACTGTACTCTAACCAAACTTTCCTTCGGGAACCTATCACGTACGGAAAACATTTGTCGAAGAAAGTTACTTTTGACGTGTTGGGGCCAACCTTTCGTAATATAGCTGAGTGCGTTGTTATTCCTATCACCGTTTTCTGTGGAGGTCACTCGCTGTCTGAATTAAATAAGTATAATAATATATTAAACGCTTTAGGGCGCATAGCGTCGTTGACGAGTGAAAACCTCGTACTTAAGTCGATTTTTTATCAAAAAAAACTTTTATGTTCATATAAGAAAACTACTCAATGCACATTTCGAGCTCACCTATCGTTCATTTCAGCCGAAAGACTTCCACTGCTGGATAAAGGCCTCCCCCAAGGATTTCCACGAAGACTGATCCTGCGCCGCTCGCATCCAGGCACCTCCCGCGACCTTCACCAGATCGTAGGTCCATCTAGTGGGAGGCCTGCCCACGCTACGTCTTCCGGCTCGTGGTCGCTACTCAAGAACTTTTCTGCCCCAGCGGCCATCAGCTCTTCGAGCTATGTGCTCCGCCCACTGCCACTTGATTTTAGCGATTCTGCGGGCTATGTCAGTCACTCTGGTTCTCCTACGTATCTCCTTATTTCTGATTCGATCACGTAGCGAAACTCCGAGCATAGCACGCTTCATCGCCCTTTGGGTGACCTTGAGCCTTCTTATGAGGCCAACCCGCCTGCCAAGCGTGGCCATTAAGGCAAAATCCCCCCTTATGGAGAGCTCACCTATATTCGAATGCAATGGAACGATTGTAGTGGCATCTATCGCGTTCAATGAAAACCTCGTAAAAATATTCAGCAGACAATTTTTTGTCTCCTCTTTTGTTTTCGTTACTCCCGAGGTATTCATTCGTAAAAGACGATTAGTGTCGGCAGATCTCTCACTAGGCGGACCGACGATCTGGTGAAGTCCTTGAGGAGGCTTTTGTCCAGCAGTGGACATCATTTAACTGAAATGAACGNAAGTCCTTGAGGAGGCTTTTGTCCAGCAGTGGACATCATTTAACTGAAATGAACGAACGAACGGTATAGCTTCTTGGTCCAGTGGTTTAAATCACTTTGGAGATTATCATGTTCGCTACAAGTTACAGAATGGTAAAGGTTGTAAACCTTGCTTACGGAATTATTTCCACCTCTCATCCTCATCAAACTCCTGTGTTGCCAGGATCTACAATACAGGAAGAAAAAGGTCTCCCCTGGGACATAATGGAAGCCAAGTTTGCTCTAAGGTAAAATTAATCTTAATATGGACCCGCAACGAAATTAACCGAAAGAAAATAGGAAAATAGAAAATAGGGAAAACCAGATCGAATTCCCTTCAGTAGGTACAAAGCAGATGACAGGTGACAAAATTAAAGATTACATTGGTTCTCCTACGCGTCTCCTGATTTAATTTTCTGATTCTATACATCATCTATACATATGGATTATGATTATTTAATCTACTGTAAATAACGTTGGGGGTCCAATGACAGTTTAACATTCCCCCCGGACTTGACCTTCACTGGTTGGGTTTTTATTGGCGGTCAAGCTGTAGATCCTGGCTACACAAGAGTTGCAGCGGTAGGAACGAAAGGTGGGGATAGTCCCGTACTGCAAAATAAATCCCATAAGAATTTTAGCGGTGTCTGTTTTTTATTTTCAGTTCTCAATTAATCAGACATAACATAACCCACAAGTAATTCTTCCGTTTCCAGACTGTAACAACAAGTTGTTCAAAAGTTGTTAAGCAACAGCGCAGCACATTATTTTCATGACAGGTCTGAATTTAGTTTGCTTGCCCTGTTTAAATTTATCTGCTAACTTTCATTGAACAAAATGGATTTGCCGACTTGAGTTAGTGTTGCTTCATACGAGTATCGATTTAATCGATGACGGACGTTTACAAAAATAAATGTCAAGGATATCGAAAAATTAACATTTTATCATTAACCCTATCATTTTTTTTTTTTTATCCACTACGAGGAAGCTCTTGGCCTGTATCTCACCTGATGGTAAGTGACGATCAGGCCGAAGGTGGAAGCGAGCTTCACCCGGAATCCTCAACCACGGAGGAACTGGCTATCTTACCTCTAAGTGCCGGAACACAATAATGCTGTGAACATTGTTGTTATGGCGACAGACTTAGGTAAGATGGTGGTAGCTAGCCAGGAGGACTTTTGTAAGAGAGTTGTGTTCCTGTGGCGGAGACTGAAGGACGTATCACAACACGAAAAGGGATCGTAACCGTATCAACTCGAGGCGGTCAGTATGAAACTCCACAAGTACTGCAACGCCCATTTAATATTATCCGCACCGCGCTATAAGTCTACTCTGATTACCTGAAATGACCTGATGATGATGAATAATGTACGAGTATGTTCTTAATTATCGTTGGTCCATCGAGCAAAATCCTACACGTCTGTCGAGACGTGGACTCGATTTGGGAACTCAAGAAAATGGCAACGCTTTTATTTGATTAACTTACAAAAAGTAATTCAATTGTTTACCTTTGAACTGAAATCAAAACTAACAAAATATTTGCAATCATTAAATTATATAGGTAGAAACAGAAAATATTATTCTCCCACTTAGATAGACAAGAAAAATTCACTAACACTACACAACACATAAAACACACACACACCACACACACATACACACACACACACACACACACACACACACTCACACAAGCGCGACCTCAAACATTTCTTAGAGTGCTATATTTTGTAATTCGTAAGTTTTTATCTCCAATTTTGTAGACTTTTTTGCGTGTTTCTAACATTGTATGTACAAACGGATCCTCCGAGAGATGAGAGTACTGGTCTCTGTAACACAGGCTCCTCGCCTAGCTCAGACACCAGTCTCTCACAATCTATTATATACATGATGTACTATTTTTATTGTAATACTTTTATGTCAGTTAGATTGTGGAGAAAAATAAAGATTTTTATTATTATCTCTTTATTTAATTTCCTTCTTATTTTTAATATTTTTTTTACAATGTAAATTATAAAAAAAACTAAAAATACATTATAAAAAAAATTCTTAAAAATAGTTAATCCGCTGGTAGCGGAGCAGGGCCCAAGCTACCGGTGGTCAGGGTCACAGGCTGAGGAACCTCCGGACAATGCGTGCCGTGCTGAGGATCACCGCCTTTTGAANATCTAGTAGGTAGTCTTAGGGCCGATTTTTCAATCGTCAGTTAACTTTTATCTGAAGAATAAACTTGTCATTTTGACATATTTCTCATACTAAAACTGTCAATGTGCCAAACTTATTCCTCAGTTAAAAGTTATCCAACGATTGAAAAATCAGCCCTAAGTTCCAAAAAACAAAACAAAACAAGCTTTCATTGAGAGCAGGGAGATAGTGTCAAAGTAAATAATTCCTTAGATTTACACCAAAACCAGCTGGATTGTCAACATAATTGTTGTTTCGCTCATGCCTCCATTGCGCTGTACCATCGACTAGTTTCTTACAATCGAATTGGGCCTGGCTGTCCACACTGTCCAGGGTTGAACCACAGATAATAGCGGAACAATTAATTTCAAAACAACCCGCCATGAGAAGGCAATTCAGAAGTTTGGCAAGGCTAGTACNATAACAGGGTTTACAAAAAACTGTAATTTAGGTTTGAAAAAGTAACTTTCAATCAGATAAAGTTTTCTAGTAGGTACATTACTTGACCTCCTTCAAAACTGATCTTTAACCAACTGGGAGTACTGGGATCTTTTATTTAGGAAAACAAGGAGACTTAATTCATCTATAGTTCTTAATTTAATCACCAATAATTGCTTCTTCTCAGTTACCGCTTGACGATCAACTAGATCCACCACCAGAGTCACCATTGCCTCGGTCGAGGGGTCGCCCCAAGAAGGATCCATCCAAAATTAAGCCTAGAGTGGCGCGCGGGCGGCGAACGGCTAACACAGGCGGGGTGCCGGGGGATGACAGCAACATGGAGGAGTACGTCAACATCATCACGCTCTCCGTAAGTGTAATAATACAGTGGCAACACAGTTGCGTCGGTCGAGCGGCCGCCCTAAGAAGGATCCATCCAAAATTAAGCCTAGAGCGGCGCGCGGACGGCGAACGGCTAACACAGGCGGGGTGCCGGGAGATGACAGCAACATGGAGGAGTACGTCAACATCATCACGCTCTCCGTAAGTGTAATGATACTAGTCGCATCACAGTTGGGTCGGTCGAGCGGCCGCCCTAAGAAGGATCCATCCAAAATTAAGCCTAGAGCGGCGCGCGGACGGCGAACGGCTAACACAGGCGGGGTGCCAGGAGATGACAGCAACATGGAGGAGTACGTCAACATCATCACGCTCTCCGTAAGTGTAATGATACTAGTCGCATCACAGATGCGTCGGTCGAGCGGTCGCCCTAAGAAGGATCCATCCAAAATTAAGCCTAGAGCGGCGCGCGGACGGCGAACGGCTAACACAGGCGGGGTGCCGGGAGATGATAGCAACATGGAGGAGTATGTCAATATCATCACGCTCTCCGTAAGTGTAATGACGCAGCGGCAACCATTATGGCATCCCTGGAGACCGAAATCCGGCGGGAGAGGTGAACTCTTGTTCTAGATTCGATTTCCAGCTGGGACATAATGTAAAAATAACTCTTGTGTATTTTTAGTTTGGCCAGGATTTGAAGATTTGAATCAACCAATTTGACCAAAAGAGCAGATTACATGGTCTTTTATTCTCGGTTTAATTACAGTTGTTAATCGTACTAACTATTCTAATTTCGTCGTATCAATAAAATGCAGTTTCAGAAACGTATACCGTCTATTCTTCCTCAAGTGACATTAATAATAAAAAAGCGAACATCGAAAGTTAATAGACAATAAAAAAACATATCGTAAAAAAGTATAAATACCTATTTATCAAAAAGTGTCCATTCGTGGACATCCTCCCCTTTTTTAGAGGAGAACGATTTTTCGTATCTACCACCCAGTCGGAGCGCCTTCCGCCAACAGCTCCTGCCCATCATATCAGTCTTGACTCTTCGCACGAGTTGATCCCAGGTGCCGCCCATAAATGGAGCCGAAGGGAGTATGAAGCGCCAGACGATTTTATTGATCGTATCGTAAGGGACTCGTAGTTGCCGATTAGCTCCAAGAAATGACGTGCCATCATCGGAGAGGATGGTGCTCGGTGTGCGATGAACCTCTGGAAACACATAATAGCCGCATCCGCAGGGAGGCTTGTAACGATCTCAAGGTGGATGTCTCTCAACCATGCACGTGAACAGTGCCCCCACCGTTTCTCTTTCCTGCGACCGATTGCTACTTCAGTTGGTCCAAAATAATCGACGCTGGTGAGCCAATCTTTCCTCCGGAAGATCTCTCATTGAAGGACAGAGCGTTGATCTCCGAAGCAGCTTACAATTCTGGCATCAATGTACGACACACCGCACCGCGTTTCGATTCGTATGCCGAGAATCCAAACTTCTGCCGCAGTTCATAGATGACGCTCTCCGTGTCGCAATGGGCGAGTTTTTCATGATAATGAAAAATGAGCAGGCGAAAGTAGCAGTAGCTCTTTCTTGGCTAGGCTGGTGGCGCAACAAACAAAGCATTTCCTCTTGAAAAACGTTCAGATGACTCCAGGAGCAAGGTGCCGTTCTGCACGACGTCCTCAGATTTCAGCGTCAATGGGCAAGAAGAGGTGGCGGAAGGGAACGAAGACCGAAACTAAGTTTTACGTTAAAGAAATATCCTCAACCCAAAAATTTCGAAAAAAGTGCTGGTGTTTGAATATGAGTGTGAAAAATAAATGGATCCAAGCAGTTGTCCTTACCAGTCTAAACCAAAAGCTAAAATGAGTGACGTTAGCTACTACTGGTAAGGGCCGCTGATTTAATGAATGGACAACGTTGATGGGATCTGAAACATGTTCGGGTGGTACGATGTCATACGTTCGGGTGGTACGATATCATATGAAATGGGTGACTTGAAGCCTTTTCTGCAGGCCACTCACTGATTGGAGTTACTAAAAGGTCTGGACATCGTGACTCAATGCCGCATGTTCTAGTGAGAGAGTCAGTCCAGAAAAAACGCCGACGCGGTTTAATTCGATGTGCGTCTCCAATAGCCGTGGCCCGACGAGAAGCTATCAAAGCTCCCTGCAATTCCAATCGGGGAATTGAAGCGGGCTTAAGCTTAAAAGTATCCGACCTCTCACTACTATGGGAGCCGAAAAACCTAAATGGATAATAAATGCGCATGAATTCCCTCTCGGTGAAATGATGAGGTTGTTTGATACCAGAATTAAACCCTAGTACGTTATTAACCGACTCCCAAAATAATCCCAGAGTGCGAGTGAATGAAATGGGTGACAGCGAACTACCTAAAACAACATTAGAGTGATCGGCAACTGAGAGGTCGGACAACTCTTTATGTAGTAGCTTTAAAGCGCCGGGGTTATTTTGTTCTTCGATGAGAGCTTCCGATTCACGCCTCGGATCGTCGCGTGATACCATAATATGAAACACAGGAATGGACGAGGTAACCGCTTGCGTTTTGTTACTCGAAAACCCAAACAAAACCCATCCCAGTTGAGTACGAATGGCAACCGGCTGAGATTTCGATCCACTTCTGGTCTCGGAAGCGACTGTGAGAGGCCAGTTATCGACACCTATAATCAGCATGGGCCTCGCTTCATCGTAGCATAATTCGTGTACTATGTCAGCTAAATACGGAAATGATTGGAGGCTTTCTCGTGGCGCAGACTGGCTGCGCAGCCCTAAGTCCTTTATCGACCTCGCCCCTTGAATAGGGTAACTCGTATCAGAACAACGACCTTTTATTTCAAAATCCACATACTGCACGGCGCTATCTTTTGTTAAACCACCTACACAATCTAAATGAATTTGTCCCTGAGGACCTTCAGCGCCTATTCGAGAGGCGATGTCGGAGTCGATCAGCGTGGCTGTAGACCCGTCGTCTAGTAGNGGTGCGGTTCGTTCTCGGAGTCCTGCAGCCATTCGGCCACTCGTGAGTTACTGGACTCCGAGACTGCCTCACTCAATGCTTCAATGGAAGCTAGCTCCGCTTGATATTCGGCCTCCGCCACTTTACGCTCTAATTCTGCAAGGCGGCGAAGGTGACGCGCCTCCGCTGCGAGTTTCCTCGCAACAATCGTAGCGGAGGAGCGGCGGCTACGTGCGGATGAGGAAGACGGGCGGGTGGTATCGATAATCGGACTGGTTGTTACCTGTGTTTCCGAAGGATCCGTTTGGGTGGCCGGTGTAGGAGGCATTGGAACGACCTCGCTACTTGCCTGAATTGGTTCCTTTTGCGAACGTGTATTTACCATCATCCAATTTTTACCAACCGCTTTTTACCAATAAACTGAGAACTGCTGAAAAATAAGCTAGTGATCCGGCTCGAAGATGTTAATCGTACTAACTATTCTAATTTCGTCGTATCAATAAAATGCAGTTTCAGAAACGTATACCGTCTATTCTTCCTCAAGTGACATTAATAATAAAAAAGCGAACATCGAAAGTTAATAGACAATAAAAAAACATATCGTAAAAAAGTATAAATACCTATTTATCAAAAAGTGTCCATTCGTGGACAACAGTTACTATGCTAAATTGAGCTCTGTGTTAATTGAGGTTAGAGATCATTTCTTTTTACAGCCCACTAGATTCACTACTCACTAGCGTGGGACGTCCACCCACAAGGTGGACCGACGACCTGATAAAGGTAGTAGGAAGGCGCTGGATGCAGGCCGCTACCAACCGTGCGATGTGGAAGTCATTGGGGGAGGCCTATGTTCAGCAGTGGACGTCCTGTGGCTGAAATGATGATGATGATGAGATTCACTAGAGACTCTAATGTACCATTTATTTCCAGAGAGAAGAACAGTTTCAGGAGATAGAAAACCGCAAGACCTCGTCCAACTATCTGAACTCGGTGTTCAAGTGCGAGCATTGCTACAAGGGCTTCATAGACGGCAAGGCTTGGAAGCATCACCTGTCGCGACACGAGCCCGTTAGTATACGTCATTCGATCTAGCCACGCCTACTACTACGGTAGAACTGGCAGAGCAGCAACTGTCAAATAAGTAGGAGAGGTCAACTGATAGGTCTTCCAATTTACCAATATCGCATCTTTCAATGGGGTATATCTCATTATTAGAAAGCTACTAGCTTTTGCCCGCGGTTTCACCCGCGTGAAATTTAGTATGTCACAGATCGTCATAAATTATAGCTTATATGTTAATCTGACGCCGTGTGGTGACGGCAGAGTAGAATACATTTGTCACCAACCCCTACTCTTCCCGCGGGTGTCGTAAGAGGCGACTTAGGGACTACACAACAAACAGAGAATGGGCAGCAGCGCTCTCTGAAAAACATCAATCTTTTAAACTGCGATCTCCAACCCGCCTGCCAAGCGTGGAGATTATGGCAAATCCCTCCACCATAGTGGAGGAGGCTCATAGTCCAGCAGTGGACTGTAAAGGGCTGTTGATGATGATGATGATGTTAATCTGGGTTATAAACAGTAATACTGTAAAGTTTCAACAAAATCCGTTCAGTAGTTTTTGCGTGAAAGAGTAACAAACATCCAGACATCATGACATCCAAACTTTCGCATTTATAATATTAGTAGGATAATAAACATTGCAATCGAGGGAATTCGATATTGTAAATACCTATCTACTTTAAACCCTCCAGTTAAATTCGTCGCTGTTTCCAAGACAATCAGCTATCCTCCTGGACTATTCAACCATCACTGGTTGGGTTATTGGCGGGAAATTATAGATCCTTGCTGTACAGGTGTACAAGAGACTAAAAGCATTAGTTCCGTAGATCTTAGAGAGGAGGGAGGAGTCACGTTTCGAATCGTTTTAGCCCGCACTGTACCTCTTACAATATACATATGTATTTTAGAATGTTTTCCCCAACAGAAACCAGGTGACGTGGAGTGCGAGATTTGCAAATTCCGCTTCAAGAGCAAGCGCCACCTGTCCAAACACGTGGCCCTTCACGAGAAGAAATACGCCTGCAAGGCCTGCCCCTACGTCTCCAAGTGCACGTGAGTTCTGCATGCTACCAGGCCTGTTCATCTCCGCGAGTTTACATCGAAAACAAAACACGCACGATGGCCCACCTACAGGATACTATTCGACAAGGCCTCACATACGAGCGAACATTGACTCACGCACGCGTATTCTTGTGTATGATGGAAGAAAATAAAGAAAATGGTGTACTAAATACTGTGCAGTATTTAACTGCCTAAATAATAATAAAAACACAGAATGTACTTTTTTAAGTTGCCTCAAGACACTGAGAGGTAAATAAGTAGTTAATATTATTCATGATAATTCATGCTAAATCATGTATTTCCTCCGCCATTTTCCGCAGTTTGGCACCTCACGTCACATCATTTTACCGAAGTCAGCCCTATAGCTTCGGCGCAGTGCCGATCACTGACGTTTGTCAACAAAATGGTGCTTGACTCTTGAGACAGGCTAAATTACACCATATTGTTAATGACATTGAGCATACATTTTTTTAAATACCTTCGCGAAGTAAAACTTCTGTACGTAGTACCAGGCCTGTTCATCTCCGCGAGTTTACATCGAAAACAAAACACGCGCGATGGCCCACCTACAGGATACTATTCGACAAGGCCTCACATACGAGCGAACATTGACTCACGCACGCGTATTCTTGTGTATGATGGAAGAAAATAAAGAAAATGGTGTACTAAATACTGTGCAGTATTTAACTGCCTAAATAATAATAAAAACACAGAATGTACTTTTTTAAGTTGCCTCAAGACACTGAGAGGTAAATAAGTAGTTAATATTATTCATGATAATTCATGCTAAATCATGTATTTCCTCCGCCATTTTCTGCAGTTTGGCACCTCACGTCACATCATTTTACCGAAGTCAGCCCTATAGCTTCGGCGCAGTGCCGATCACTGACGTTTGTCAACAAAATGGTGCTTGACTCTTGGGACAGACTAAATTACACCATGTTGTTAATGACATTGAGCATACATTTTTTTAAATACCTTCGCAAAGTAAAACTTCTGTACGTAGTACTTATTATTATTCTGTGATGCTACTTTGAACATTGTGTATCCTATGACATGGGAATAAGGTGCAGATTACATACTATTTGTGCGAGATTTGCTTATCCTACTTTAGAACAAGCATCTTTCACGAGAAGAAATACGTTTGCAAGGCCTGCCCTGCGTCTCCAAGTGCACGTGAGTTCTGTTTGAACGTTATGTGTACCTTATGCTATGGAAAAAAGATGCTTAGTTCATGTAACTTTGACGGAATATACGCTCGCCCACAGATTTAAAACAACAACCATGGAGAAGTGGGCGTGGCTTCTCGTAAGTTTCTAGTTTATTGTAACGAAGTTTACACACACATTTTTGGTGACAAGTGCAAGTAGTTACTTTAGATAAAGTTAAGTCACTTAAGTGTGTTTTTTTTTTAATTTTAGTTTCTTCATCCTTTCAGAACTCAAGCGAAACAGCATCAAAGATGGCACAAAGGCGTCACGTACAAATGTCAGCACTGCGATGAAATATTGTCGTAAGTTGAGTTTATCTATTGTATGAAAAATATGATCATCTATCGTTTAAATTCAATTGCATTATTTCGTCACATTCGATTATGATTAAAGTTTGTTAATTGAATTGATTCTTACGTCCAGCCAGCAGTGGACTGTCATAGGCTGATTTAGGTTCGCCATACATGGACCGCTTGAAGTGGCTAGTATTGATAACTTAACCAAAGTAATAACAGTTGTGATACTTGGGGCGGTTGGGCCCGAACCAGTCACAAACGCTCGAGCTGTTGGCAGTATGGTGAAACATCGTGCGGTCGCCAGAAAAGCACTGACTGATCGAGTTTTCGACTGCTCTGGCGCTCCATGTCACGCGCACTTGTCATTTGTTAAGCATGATGAGCAGTCAAACTGTTGATTTTGACTGGAAGAGCGGTCCATGTATGTTGATCACTGGCTATAGATCGTATCATTTACAAAGACGCGCCCCACCAATTTTTAGTCGAGGGAAGGCTTTTTAGGGGCTTGTCCGGCCAAATATTGTCTTGTCCGGCCTGTCCGGCCTTTGTTAGGCTTTTTATGTGGCTGCCGTGCCAGTCGAAACTCGAGCTTCAGAATAATGTTCATTCAAAGATGATAGTATCCCACTCATGAACTATGACGCTAATTGACCTCCCCCCCCCCCGTGACATAGTACGTTAGCTATTTAAAAAGGCATGTCCGGCTTTTAGGGTAAAATGTCCGGACCAAATAAAGCACAGAGTCCGGCTTTTGTGTTTTTGGACCTGGCAACCCTAGGTGGGGTGCGTCTTCGTGGATGAAACAATCTATAACTGCTGCCTTAGCTATCTATGACGGATCCTAATGTATATCAGCTGGCACTTACACTTACTTGTGGTCCAGCAAATGGACGTCGTACCTGAGCCACGTGCGGCTGAAGCACCCGTCGGAGTTTATCTGCGGCGCTTGCGGGTACTCCTTCGTCAGCCGGCTCGGGCTCAGCATGCACCGCACCATGATGCACAAGGACGCCGTGAGTTGTAACACTTGTGGTCCAGCGAGTGGACGTCGTACCAGGCCTGTTCATCTCCGCGAGTTTACATCGAAAACAAAACACGCACGATGGCCCACCTACAGGATACTATTCGACAAGGCCTCACATACGAGCGAACATTGACTCACGCACGCGTATTCTTGTGTATGATGGAAGAAAATAAAGAAAATAGTGTACTAAATACTGTGCAGTATTTAATTGCCTAAATAGGTATTATAAAAACACAGAATGTACTTTTTTAAGTTGCCTCAAGAAGCTGAGAGGTAAATAAGTAGTTAATATTATTCATGATAATTCATGCTAAATCATGTATTTCCTCCGCCATTTTCCGCAGTTTGCACCTCACGTCACATCATTTTACCGAAGTCAGCCGTCAGCCCTATAGCTTCGGCGCAGTGCCGATCACTGACGTTTGTCAACAAAATGGTGCTTGACTCTTGAGACAGGCTAAATTACACCATATTGTTAATGACATTGAGCATACATTTTTTTAAATACCTTCGCGAAGTAAAACCTCTGTACGTAGTACTTATTATTATTCTGTGGTCGTACCTGAGCCACGTGCGGCTGAAGCACCCGTCGGAGTTCATCTGCGGCGCGTGCGGGTACTCCTTCGTCAGCCGGCTCGGGCTCAGCATGCACGGTGCACCGCACCATGATGCACAAGGACGCCGTGAGTCACAACAAGTCCAAATGTTTTATTGTTTTTGGACCTTAAGATAAAGGAATAAAGTTCAAATATGGTGGGATTCCCACTGCCGTATTAAGGGTAGAAGGATTTGCCACATTGGATATGGATGCGTTCTGCGATCGAGTATCGTCCACTTGCGACGACCGCTACAGTGTGACATCTCGTACCTACTATCGACTTGCGACGACTATTAAACCGTAGTTTGAGATGTCACACTGTCTTCGCTAGTGGACGTACTTGTACCTATAACTTATTATGACTAAAAATACATAGGCTGCTAAACACATTACCACTGCTTAACGTCGCGCAGTCGGGTAAAAACGATTTTATTACTTGCTCCTTTTCTGCCTAAACTTCAATAGCATATTTAAGACATTTCTACAGATACCATATAATTTGACAGGAACCAGAAGAAGCTGAAGGTGATAGCACTGAAGGCGGTTACTGTGCGCTTTGTGATGTCAAATTCTCGTCAATGGAGGCCTACCGCCGGCACATGGTCACCTCGGCCAAGCACACGCAGGACCAGGACTTTAAGTAAGTAGTAGTAGAGATCAATTTAGCATGACATGTGTATTTAAGCTGATTTTTATGAAAGCGTATTAAGGGCATATCCTAACATGCTTTATGTAGGAAGCGATAAGGTTGCCTTTAAACCGGGCCAACTTCAGAACTTCACTCGCGAAGCTACCAGCTAGGAGTGACGTTTTTCGGAAAGTCGTTGGCAGAAGCTGGTTACTATTACCAGCCGGAGACAAGGTAAAATAGTCCTTATTGAGAGGGCTCGACTACGTCGGCTCGCCACGGTCATAACCAGCGGTTAACGCCATAGTGGAAAATGTGGAAATGAACTTTACGCCATATGCCGCTAAAGTCGACCTATTTTTTCAAATTTGAAGTTCAGATTTTGATCAGTTAGGTCAATTTAAGCCTAGGCACAGATCACCGATTTTTAGTTGGCCGATAGTTGGGCCTGATTCTAATTTGTATGAAGAATCGGCCGATATCAAATCGGTGTAATGTGCGCATTTTCATACGTGCGTATTTTCATACATGTCCATTGTCCATTCTAATTAACAGCCCGACCCAACTATCGGCCAACTAAAAGTCGGTGGTCTGCGCCTAGTCTAAAGCCCCAGCAGTTGACTACTACTGATTATGATGTATACAGGGTGTTTGGCGGAAGGTTAGACAAACTTCGTGGGTGTATAGGTAAAGTCACTTTAAGAATACAAGTTCGTCCATTAGACCCTAAGTGAGCCACTTCTTTTTTAATGGATATTTTTATTTTTATTGAATTTTTAATTTTTATTTATTTTTTTTTACCTAAAAAGAGCTTCCATTTTTTTTTCTCGCGTGGTTTCAACCGATTCTTAGGCAACATTTTGAGCTAGAGATGTAAATAAAAACAAAAATATCAATTAAAAAAAAGTAGCTCACTTAGGGTCAAATGGGCGAACTTGTATTCTTAAAATGACCTTACCTATACACCCACGGAGTTTGTCTAACCTTCCGCCAAACACCCTGTATAATGAATAAAATCGTCTCCCCAGGAATGGCTGCCGCGAGTGCGGAGAGACGTTCACCAGCGAGGAACAATTCCGCGCGCACCACCGCCGCCAACACGCTCGCAAGCGGCCCAAGAACTACGGCAAGAAGCCCTGCCCATTCACCTTCCCTACGCTCTGTCCTCACGTGAGCACACGCTAAAGCCCGGTCCGTGAGCACGTAGAATTTTGTCCAATGACCCCAAGCTACCCATCCTTATCGCTCGCGCGTAATTATGTTGCTCGTGCTCACGGACCAGACTATACACGTAACGAGCATGAGCTCGATGACGTCTCAGCCGAGTGACGTCCACTGCTGGACAAAGGACTTCCCCTAGGAACGGCTGTCGCGAGTGCGGCGAGACGTTCGAGCACGAGCTCATCGTCTAAGCCACTTGACTATGCCCGCACGTGAGTACACGCGTACCGAGCTTGTGACGACATCTATCGACAGTCGACACGCACACGCTACTACAGTCATGGCGCTGACACTATCTTACTATGGCACACGTCTACAAACCTGCATCGCGGTGACAGAGTTCTGTGCCTAACTAAGATAGAAAACCGAGATGGTAATAACTGGACCCTGGTCCCCGAGCACAGCACCCGCTCGGAAGGAAGCGATCACATCTTAGGTTCCTTATTGGAGTATCTTCAAATAAGACTCATTGTCTCAGCCAAATGATGTCCACTGCTGGATAAAGGGGAGGCCCCAGGAATGGCGGTCGCGAATGCGGCGAGACGTTCACCAGTAAGGAGCATCTGCGGCCCAAGAACTACGGCAAGAAGCCCTGCCCATTCACCTTCCCCACGCTCTGTCCATCATGGCATGTGACATTAAATGTATGACGGATTGTACAGCGCCCCTAGCGGAAATTTTCAAGAACTAAAATCTTCATATATTTTTATTAACGCGCTTGCTTAGTGACGACATTTGATGTAAACTCAAACTGAGCCCTCTGTATCATCTTTTGCGTACTAACAGTAACCGCCCTACTCTCCCCCAATAATAATAAAAATAGACCAATAAAAATAGAGTTGGAAAAAAATTCTTCCTTTCACTCCTACATTTTACAAACACTGATCATCTGAACAGAGCCCCGATTACGGTAATGTTTAACGTCTCCAATCCAGACGCGCTTCATCGATTCTGCGATACGATTGGTCAAAACACAAAAAAAAAAACAGCGTACGTCAGCTGTTTTGACCAATCGTATCGCAGAATCGATGAAGCGCGTCTGGATTGGAGACGTTAAAAATTACCGTAATCGGGGCTCAGGTCAATTTGTGCCGTGGTCAAATGTGATGATGTGATCAAAGTGGCAGGTTTTAGCATCAAACCGCTTGTCATGTGAACTCCCTTGAGGCGCGACAATCTGAACTTAGCCTAAGACCGTCCTTGGTACGTATTATTATTATTCTCTTTATTAACTTTGGTTCTTAATTTTAAATATTTTTTTACAATGTAAATTATCAAAAAAAAAAAAAATACATTATAAAAAAATACTTAAAAATAGTTATTCCGCTGGTAGCGGAGCAGGGCCCAAGCTACCGGTGGTCAGGGTCACAGGCTGAGGAACCTCCGGACAATGCGTGCCGTGCTGAGGATCACCGCCTTTTGCATCTGACCCTTGAGCCAACCATCCAGCGAGAGCTTCTTTAGATGTTGGTCGAAGCTCTTCGCTATTAGCCCGTTTGCCGAGACAACTATCGGGACAATGATCGTCGAGTCAACATCCCACATGGCGGTCACCTCGTGGGCCAAGTCAAGGTATTTGCTTTGCTTTTCCTTCTCGGCCTTCACGAGGTTTTCGTCATGCGGGATGGTAATGTCAACGAGCATTGCCCGACGTTGGGATCGGTCAACCACCACAATATCAGGCTTATTACAGACAATAGTCCTGTCTGTGATGATAGAACGATCCCAATAGAGCAATGCATGACCATTTTCGAGAACTGGCACCGGCTGGTATCGGTAATAAGGCGTCTCAGATTCAAGAAGGTCGTACTGAAGAGCAAGTTGCTGATGGATGATTCTGGCTACTAGGTTATGCCTGTGCAAGTACTCACCGTTAGCAAGATGCGAACAACCAGAAATTATATGCCTGAGTGACTCTCCGGGACGGTGGCATGCTCGACAAATGTCGACCGTACCGTCCTTCAGGATATATTTTCGGTAATTGTTCGTCATCATGACCTCGTCAGCAATTGCACAAGCAAAACCCTCGGTTTCCCCAAAGAGGTCACCGAAGCGTAGCCAGTTCACCGAGGCGAGGAGGTCTACATCAGGACCTGTAAGGGCCCGATAGAACCTCCCGTGCAGCTCCTTGCTCTTCCATACGTCCTTCCGATCCGCGACGCTCAGGACCTTTGGCTTGCGCCAGTTCTCGTTCGCCAAGGAGAGCGGCGTGAGGCCTTTGTCAACTGCCACAACATCGCGATGCATTCCGCACTCATTGGCAAGGAAATAATCCCTGAGACTGCACACTTCACGGTTGTGGAGGTTCTTGGCATTTAAAAAGCCTCGACCACCCCACTTCCGTGGAATGTACAGTCTCATCACAGATGAACGCGGATGTAACATGCGATGTTGTGTGAGCTGCTGACGTACCTTCCTATCCAGGGCGTCAAGTTCAGTCTGAGTCCATCTTAGTATGCCGAAGGAGTATATCAATAGAGGCATCACCCAACCGTTGAAAGCTCTTACTTTGTTGCCGCCAGACAAAAGACTATTAAGAACTTTTGTCAGTCGGCTACAAAAGCGTTCTTTCACCGATTTTTTGATGTCTTCTACAGATATACCTAACGATTCTGACATACCAAGATACTTATAGGTCTCAGTTTCGGAGAGAGATTTGAGTGTCATTGTCTCAGAAAGTTGTAAATTCGGGGAATTCACAACTTTTCCCCGCTCTACATGTAAGACCGCACACTTGTCTACACCAAACTCCATCCTGATGGCGTTGCTAAATACCTGTGTGGTTTTTAGCAACTTCACCAGGTCTTGTCGTTTTGGTGCGAACAACTTGAGATCATCCATGTAGAGCAGGTGACTAATGACCTCACCCCCTCTTCGAAGCCGATAACCAAGCCCTGAATCCTTTAACAGAGTGCTAAGAGGATTCAGTGCTAGGCAGAACCATAAGGGACTCAAACTGTCACCCTGGAAAATGCCTCGCTCAATCCTTATGAAGTTCAATGGATCAGGAGACCTCTCACTACCACCTGGTTGCCGAAGGACTGTAGTCCACTGCCCCATGCATGAGCTTAAAAAGGATCTCAGAGTTGCATCTACCTTATACAACTCTAAAATCCTCTCTAGCCATGAATGAGGCACCGAATCATAGGCCTTCTTATAGTCAATCCAGGCAGCAGAGAGAGCTTTCCTGCTCCGTCGAACTTGTTGGCTAATGGTCATGTCTATGAGGAGGAGCTCTTTAGTACCACGAGACCCAACCTTACATCCATTCTGAGCAGGGGCCAAGATATTGTTCGCGACAATATGCGTATTAATTTTTGTGGTCAGAATAGATGTAAGGAGCTTGTAGATGGTAGGCAAGCATGTAATCGGTCTGTAGTTCTTTGGGTCCATGGTACTACCAGATTTGTAGAGCAAGGTGGTGACACCGGTAGTCATGAAGGCTGGAAGGGAACCGAGCTCGAGGGCTTCTTGGAATTGTGTCGCTAAACGGTCATGTGAGCATCGAATCCACTTAATCCAAAAGTTGTGCAATCCGTCCGGCCCAGGGCTTTTCCAGTTCTGGGCCGTGCTGATTGCACTACTAACGTCTTCGGGATCTATAACAATAGACCCCATGGATTCGATGGACTCACATTCACGCTCAATTACACGCATCCAATCACCCTCAGTGTGCTCAACGGGCATCGACCAAATGCCACGCCAGAAATCAATCATGGTATTGACATCTGGCAGCTGCCCGTCGCTCACACGTTGATCAGCTCCCTCCCATCTCCGGTACACCTTCCTCTGGTCACTTTGGAAGACACGATTTTGCCAGTATCTGTTCACGCGCTCTTTGTAGCGACGAATACGGTTTGCCCATGCATAGACTTTTTGCTTTAGGTAGTCAATGCGTTCTGTGACACAAGTCATGTAGTCCTGAGGTAGAACGCCAGTCCCAGCAAAGGCTTGCGCCACAAACCGCATGACTCGGGGACGATTATTTCCCCGTCTAAAACAAATTAGCTTTGCAATGAGAGTTCTGAATGCATTAATACGCCGCTCGATTCGTATTTGCCACGCAGGTGTCATCCCGGCAGGGCGCGCTGCTCTGTCCGAGTCCGGGAACTGGACACCAGCAACACGACAAACCGCAATGGCACCACAATATAGGATCGAGTGGGTATCAAATAAATTTGCGCTAGTCTGCATATACGGAATTAACAATGCATTCAGAGCTCCCATTAACGCCAAATTACGTCTATGAGTGGGCAAACGCGGTAGTCGAGGCCTTGAATCTGACGTGAACCGATGCTGACCAATAGCGTCCTCCAAAGCCCTCCTCAATCGCTCACTCACCTGGTTACTTACACTACTCGGCAAATCCCTCTCATCAACATCAGAGGCTACCCCCGCCGCTTGTGGTGTCGATGGCGACACCGTAGGCGACGCCGGGGCAGGGGACTCCGACATTAAGAGGGGGGTTGTCCGAGCAGGCATCGCCTCCAGGCGGAGTCGATCAAGTACAGACTGGTCCAACAGCCTGCACCGTTGAATAGCCCGCACTTGATCCGATAGTCGTTGGGCAGAAACGGTGATGGTCGGCTCAAGGTTCTGAAACAAAGGTAGGATCCGATCACGATACGCAGTCAGGACGGTTCCCCCTTCTGTAGCCCCATAATAGGCGCGCATGCAGTTCTCATTCATGGTTTGAGTCCATCGCATGCGGCGCACTACACCACCGGTAGCGGGGGCCGTGCGCGAGGCAGGTTGCCTCGCTGACCCTAAGCGTGCCGGCAGCGGCGGACGTCCCCGTCGCGCAGGTCGTGGTGGCGGCGGCGGCGTCGTTGGCCCGTCCTCGCCGCTCGACGCGCCCGTGGCGGGGGGAGTTACGAACTCCTCTCCCGATGAAGAGCACGAGGACGATGACGAGGACAGGACCTGAGGCGGTGGTGGTGGTGGGCGTGCGCGTAGTATCATAATCTGTCAGTTGATGT